GGTCTCAAGCTCAAGTTGGCGTCAAATACAACAGGTCAAGCCTTCCTGTAGGGCCTTAGTAAATGTGTGGTGTTGGAGACCAGCTCCAACTATCAAGGTGTCTGGAGGCAAGACAGGCAGGACCCTAAGGTGGGAAGGCGCCGGCGAGCGGAGATTCCTAAAGGGAAAAAGGGGAGCAGGCGTGAGGAAGACACCGGGAGTCGGAGTTGGGTGTAAGTCTTCCTGCCCATCTTTTTGAAGGTCTTTATTTATACTGAGTAGCAAGAGTTAGTTACAATAATGCATCAGGTAAGTTAATAAGAAATCAGCATAAACGTTTTAAAGGAAGAGGGGAACAATGTATCCTCTTCCTGCTACTTTATGGCATACGAGACTATACATATTGGGATAGCTTTCATATATACAGATGTTTAACTATGACTTCAAAAGATCAGGGTCTGGGAAAGGATGAGCTGTTAGCAAAGGATTTAGGAGTCCTAGGGAAGGAATAAATTGTGTTAGCAGAGTCGTCAGTCTAAAGAAAAGCTAATGGCTAAATTAAGGTTAGCAGAGAGTAGCTAGTGTTTGTTTTAGGAAAAGGTTAATTCAGACTAGCAGAGAGTAGTTAGTGATTGTTTTAGGAAAAGAGTAAATTAAGTCACATAGTTATGCATTAAGCAAAACCTGTGTTGATAATGTTAGGAAATTGTCCATGGGTCCTTATGCCCTGGGAGTTATCTAAGACTTGCTTTTTGTCAAAAGACCAAGGAAGCTTTCCAGGAGTCTTGATGCTCTGGGGTTTTATCTCTCCAGGAGCTTGCCTTTTGTCTTCAGTCAAAGGAATTTCTTGCCCAGGAGCAGCTCAGCTTGTACTTTGCCCAGGCCAGGTAGCCAATTTAGAGCTAAGCAATCCAGTTACAAACTGATGTTGTTGCAATATTTTTGATATTATGATTATACAAAAAAGGGAGGTCATAACATAAGTTAGCAGTGGAAATTCTGATTTTTCAGAGCTTTTCCCGATCTACCGGAATCTGTCAGTCCATAGACGTTGCATAGCTTGTGTCAGTGTGGCTTGTGAGAGAGGGTGTGATCAAAGCCAGAGCTGACAGAAGGTTCTAGAGGAAGACACCTCTGGCCAGCTTTCAAAGCTCTTCCCTAGTGGCTTGCCTATATAGATGTCCATGGTGAGGGGAGACTGTCAGGCTCACACAGTAGGTCTCTGGCACTGCAGGCCTCCAATCCAGGTCTCTGGACTACAGGCCTGATCACCAACCTTAGCACCTGTCTGAGCAGTCTGGAATGGTCTTGCAGCTGAGCCCTTCTGTCTCTTGAAAGGCAAGTGTCTGACAGACCGCCCTTCCTGAGGTTGTGCTGGCCTCCAGGGACACTCAGCTGCAGCTCACACACTGCCTTGGCTGACAGGTTCCCAAGGACCTGGAGAACTCAGCTAGGTGGCTTTCTAGGGTTGTCAGCATTCTAGAAACATGTGGAAGGTCTCCTGAGCTCTGGTGAGCATCCCCATCCCCAGATGAGACACAGAACCCCTCCAAATTTTAGACAAAGTCTCAGCCTATCAAAGATATCCTTCGCGTTTGGAATTCTGAGGAAATCCTCCAGTGCGTCAGGGTTTCCAGATGCTGCTCCTAACCCCACTCCCCCTGGGTATTTAGCAATCTTCTTCTAAGCTAACTAATACCTTGTTTCAGAGGGGCAGAGACCTGCCCCAAATTCCAGAATTCAAGGGGAGGCTGACAGCCTTCAGGGCTCTAGAAGAGGCCTCGCTCAGGCAGCTTTAAGCTCTCCACAAGGAATACTAGCTTTGATCTGCACCTGGACCCCTTGGGTCTCCTCCAGAGTCCCTAGAAGTGATGGCTCTAGGGTGACAGTTATTGGGCGAGGACACTGATTGGGAGCTGGACATGCAGCCTATGGTTGTGGAGTCCCGTGTCGTTCTGTGGAAAAGGAAGTGGGATTTTGCTGAGTTGGAAAGTCCTGACTGGCCCCAGCAGGAGGAATCGTCCAAACATGAATGCACCAGCCAAGGCCAGGGTTCCCTGGGTGGTCCCCGTCCATCTTCGACACACTCAGGAAGGCTCTCACGCTCGGTGCCAGGGGCCTCCCCTGCCTGGGGCTCAGGACCTCCCAGTAAGCAGGGCCAGCAGCAGTGAGATAAGGCTCTGGGGTGGGGGGAGGGGGGTCCCTGGCTCCAACCTGCCCAGCCTCCCCAGTTGATGTGGCATCAAATGAGCTTGCATAGGAAAGAGTGACTTTCCACCACTAACTAGACTCCCTCCCCCTCCCACAGGTCTCTGGACACATGTCACCTGCAGGAGACCTTTCTTGATGCCCACCTTTTAGAAGGGCACCTGCCTGGGGGTGGGGTGGGGGACGACTCCTCCCTGCCATGCTTTGTTCCACGGCAGGTATCATCACCCAACACCCTCATTTTTGGCCTATTTTCTTTTTCCATGTCTGTTTTCCATGAGGGTGAGGATTCTTAGCTTAGTTAAATACTGGCCCTAAGTTGGGTTCTCAAGAAGTATTTAAATGAATATTTCTAAATGAGTTTTTTTTAAAAGATTTATTTATTTATGCATACAGAACTGGGGTACAAGCCAGAGGTGCAAAGGCGGTGAGAGGATTCACCAGAGACCAAGTAGGGAGCAGAACAGGCAAATCTATGAAGTACACTGCTGAGGGGAGCAGCGGGCTGGTCAGGAGAGGTCTGCCACGCCATGTGGTCACCTCTGGGGCAGGCGGGGATCAAACTCATGTGGAAGTGGCTTTAGCTACTTAGTGCTGTGCTTTAACCCGCTGCGCCACCAGGGAGGGCCTAAATGAATATTTTTAACCCAGATTGGCAACTCTGTCCAATGTGGCCTTGTTGACTAGAGGTAGCTTTGGGCTAACTAACCTACTTCAGGCCAAGTGTTCTTGCTTCTTTGCACCTGGCAGGGATTTCATCCCCATGGCGGACTCCTGCCTGAGACCTGCTGCTTTTGTGTCCATCGTAGAGCTGAGGCTCAAAGCAGTTCAGTCACTTGCCCAGGGTCACCCGTGGATAAGTGCCATGGATAAACGATGATGCCGGGATTTGAACTCGTATGGTTCGGCCAGTGGATCCAACTGCCTCCTGGCTGCCCGGGGTCTGGCCATCTCCCAGACTCTGGAGGCCGGTCTTCCCAGTAACCACCTTTCAACACGCCTAGTATCCAGTCAGAATTGTACCTCTCAATACTGGGTCACTGAGGGCTCTAGTCTGGGGTAAGCCTACCAGTCGCAGTTTCAGGGACCAGTCCAGATGAGACCCCCTTTCCTGGGGAGAGGCCCGGAGAAGCCCAGTAGCCCACCCCAACTCTCAAGCACACTGAGTGGAGACTTGTGGCACCTGGGTTTTATCTCTGGGGCCTTACTTCCCCGGGGTGGGGGGGGCATGATTAGGGGGCAGTCCCAGGGCTGCTTTCCCAAGTGCTGGCTAGGGGGTCACTGGGGCTTGTGGTGGGGTGTGGGAGGCGGAAGCAGGACTTGATTCCCTCTGGGCAGGCCTGCAGCCACGTGTGAGCTCTTTTCCAGAGGACACTGGCGCCTCCCTGGGCAGCTGCCCCCTGGCTTGTCCTCCAGCCTTGGCTCTCCACCCTGCAATGCTCCCGGCGCCTGTGGGTCTGAGCCCAGCAGCCAGAGGACACCCAACCCAGGGCCTGGCTCAGCTACCACTAGTTGAGGCTTCTCAAGTCCTCCCTGTGCTGGACTTTTTGCAGGTCCCCTTGCCGCCCACTCACCCTCAACAGTGAATCCGCCTTGCTCTTGGACAAGCCCAAGCTCCAGATGTAACCTACAAAGCCCTGACACCCTTGGGGCCCTCTGGGCACCTGCAGCCCCGACACCTGTTCTGCACCAACCATACACCTGTCTTTGGCAAACTTCCTTTGAGCCTCTCAACATGTCATGGTTGGGCCCCCACACCCCAGCACAGTACAGGTGTGAGACTGTAAGTGTGTGTCCCCACAAGACTGTGAGGTCAGCTTGCCTGTCCCTGCATGGTCAGCTTGCCCCTGTCGGTCCTATAACCCACTTGACGCAGGTGATGCCAGTGGTAATTTGTTGGGTGAGTGAGTGAATGAATGAAAGAACCATATGGGTCTTGGTGTCTGTAAGTGGGAGTCAAGTCAGCTCTTTCTCTAATAACGTGACCCCTCCACAGCCCCAATTTCTCATGCCTCATCTGGACACCCCCCTAATTACAGGCCCACTTTCTCCTCTGAGCATCACCCTGGGATTCATCATTTTTCATCTCTGTGATATGCACTGGGCTTAACAGATAGGAGCCATGTCCCCCACCTAAGTGACTCAAGGTGGTCCAGGGAGGGCACAGGGCTCACTCAGGGGCGCAAAGTATCACCGGTGGCCTCAGATCTCAGGTCTCATGGTCCTGCCAGCACCAGGACACATGAAACTGGCATCGAATGAACCAGCCTTGAATCTATCCCCTGCCCAGCCGAGGCCAAATCAGTGACCTTGGAATCCTTGGTAGACAGGAACGCCACTCCATACCCCACATCTACCCAGGAGCACAGAGTAGTTGCTCAGTTAAAACTGGATTTAATGTATGACAGGAAATGGGAATTCAGAACATCCTCGATTAGGAGGGGACCCCCACCTTTGTGAGGAGTCCCTCCTCTTAGGGATTTCCCTCTTTTCCACACCCACACTCCCTTCCACACCCACCAAGTCCCCCTGCCCCTGATTACTAGAGGATAGGAACAGCCAGACTTGGAGCAGACACTTCTCTTTAATCGTATCTTGTTACCTGCTGCCTGGCTTCCCGAGTCTCATTTCTCATGGTCTGCAGTGGCACATTACCTGTGTCCCCCCGCCCAGTCTCTGCACCCCAGTCTCAGGACCTGTCCTCTGTCCAGCCCTGTACAGTGGGGAGCAGTAGCTGCTTTCTCATCCAACACATGGGACAATGGCCCCAGGGCACAGGGCGGCCAGCGACCTCCGGGGTTCCCAGTTCCCTCTCAGCGGGGCCGGCGGGCCCGGCTAGGGCTCTGTGTGCCCTGACGCGCAGGTGGCTGGCTCCGGCCACGTCTCAGGGAGCTGCCGATCTGGTCTCTCAGCGCTTCTAGCCTCCGGGCCAGGTTTGGGGCTGCAGCCCCACCTGAGGGACATGGAGAGGCTCAAGGCTGGCACCCATGTGCCCGCCCCACAAGGCCCACTAGGGTCTCAGCATCCTCTGATGGCACCTACCCCCAGTCCACCAGGGCCCCTCCCTCCCTTCACCTCTCAGCCCTGGTGGTGTGTTTGGGGGTTCCATGGGCAGTGGGGGTGCAGAGGGCACCACCTCCTCCTCGGTTAGCATCTCTGCCAAAACTTGGGTCTGAGTCCAGTCGCTGTGACTCCTGGGACAGGGTGAGTTGGGTGGTGGGCGCTGAGCCTGCAGGACCCAGGCTTCTCCTCCCCTGCCCCCAGGCCCCAAGGCAGGCCCACCTGTCTCTCGGGCACTTGGCAGAGCCAGGGCTGTGTGGTGGCACCCAGGGTGGGGGCCGGGCAGATGGGGGCATGCCGCTTGGAGCCTTAGGGTCAAACACCTGTGGGAGAGACCAGAGCCCATAGTGGGTAACCCCAGTCCTGCCTCTCTGTGCCCCACTTCCCTGGTGACCAAGATCAGGTGGGTCTTGATTGCAGTGAGTGGCCTTTGTAATGTCTTCTCTAGAGATTGGGAAATCCCCGAGGGCAGGAAGCATATCCACTCTCTGTCTGAACCCTCAGTGTCCAGAGCAGGGGCAAGCAGCAAGTTGCTCAGGGGAGAGTTACTGAATAACAGTGCGAACACATAATGCCTAAAGAAATAAATGTGTACACGGGTGGGTGGTTAGGTGGATGGATGGACTGATGGATGGACAGACAGACGGATGGATGGACAGATGGACGGGTGGGTGGATGGATGGATGGATGATGGATAGATGGATGGATGGATGGACGGATGATGGATGGGTGGGTGGATGGATGGATGGATGGATGGATGGATGGATGGATGGATGGATGGTGGATGGGTGGATGGATGGATGGGTGGGTGGATGGATGGATGATGGATGGATGATGGGTGGATGATGGATGGGTGGGTGGATGGATGGATGATGGATGGATGATGGGTGGATGGGTGGATGGATGGATGATGGCTAGAATGATGGATGGATGGATGGATGGATGATGGGTGGAGAGATGGATGGATGGATGGATGAGTGGATAGATGGATGGACCCCAAGTCAAGTTCTCTACCTCGCCCAGCCTTTCCTTACCCCTTGGCCTTCCCTACCTGGGGCAGGTGGTGCCCTCTCCGTGAGCATGTCCAGCTGGCCAGAGGTGCTTGGCACAGGGGGCAGAGATGGCAGCAGGGGCAGGAGCAGAGGGGTGGCAGCACCTGCAAGTGGGCACATCAGAGGCCCCATGCTGTCCCTGCTCCACCCCCCGCCCCCCAGGGCTGGGCTCAGACTCACATGGCAAGGTGGATGTGGGCCCGCCACACAGGGACACGGTGGGGCTGGGTCAGGGCGGGCACGGTGAAGGCAGCAGGCAGAGAGGAGGCGCCTGGAGAGTGCAGAGGGCTCTGAGCTTACATCCCCACCACCAGGCCAGGTCCCCCCTTTAGTAAACACCGAGGAGCACTAACAGGTTTCTCTTGCTATTCAAAAGTGGCCTTGGTGGGTTTTAGGGCCTGGGAATGACAACAAATTAATGGCATCAGCATTTCCAGACCTAAAGCATAGCCCACCAAACCGTGCCAAAGAGGAATGTGTGTGACCCGCACTGTGAGCCAGGCGCCATTCCTAGGGCTTTACCTATGGACCAACCCTTCGGTTCCATCTTAAAACTTCCCGGTTGGGTGTGGAGCATGTGTCCCCATCTTCTAGAGGGGAAACCCAGGCGGCTGTGCCAAGGTCACGCCGCTGTTGGGTGACCGAGCTGGAAACTGACGGCAGGCGCCCTCCTACCCACGCAGCTCGCAGCCAGCCCGCCCATGGCCCAAGGCCTCTGCCTGGCTGGGGGTGCGCTCACCGCTCCAGCTCGCGGACCTGCTGCACCAGGACTCGCTGCTCATCCTGCGACAGGTCCCGGCTGCTCTGCAGCTGGTTCTTTTCTTTCCTGGGAAGAGCAGGGCTCAGGAAAGTGACAGGAGATGGGGCAGTCATCCCCTCCTCCCCCCAGGCAGGAGGAGCTCTTGGAGGCAAATGGGGGGAGGAGGAGCCCTGGGGCTGGGGGCCTTACCTGAGCCTCTCGTTCTCCAGCATGAACTCCTGCAGCATCCCATAAAGGTTCCGCTGAGCCCAGGCGCCCCGGGCCCCACTGAGCCCTGAGAGAACAGGGGAGGGGAGGTGGCTGGATGCAAGAGAGCCCCAGATCCTAGCCACGCCCCATTTCCAACTCAGGGGAGCTTATACCTTTGGGGTTCGTTTGGCCCAGCTGGGACCGCAGATGACGGTTCTCCTCCCGTAGCTGCACTACCTCTGTCTCCAAACGCGGGGGCTGTTTGGCCACGGGGGACTGCAGAGAGAGGCCCCTGGCTGTTCACAGCTGTACAGGTTGTGCACTGCACAAAGGCTTGTGGGGGGACCGGCTGGGGGAGTGTAGCTTGAGTGGAACCGAAAATCCGGTCTCTACTTCATTATATTTTTTAAAGGTTTACTTATGCATACAGAACTGGGGTACAGGCCAGAGGTGCAGAGGCGGTGAGAGGCTTCACCAGAGACAGAGTGGGGAGCAGAACAGGCCAGCTGACGAAGCACACTGCTGAGGGGAGCAGCGGGCGGGTCAGGAGAGGTCTGCCAGGCCATGTGGTCACCTCCAGGAGGGGACCCAACTTGGACTGAAGCGGTTGCAGACAGCTTGCAGCGCTGTGTCCTAACCCACTGCGCCACCAGGGAGGGCCCGGACTTCACTCTTTAGCTTCGCCTCCAGGCACAGCTGCACCCCCTGGATGGGGCGTGCGTCCTGATGGCGGCACCCACATGCAATGTGGCCTTAGCTGCCTGGCTGGCGGGGCCACGCGACGGCCAAGCTCAAACTCAGTCCTATTCAAACCCTGGCCCAGATCCTGAGCCCAAATAAGACCCCGTATCAGATCTCACTCGTGCCGACTACTCCATGCTGGGATCCTGGCTAGCGGGGATCCTATCCCAAAGCAGATTCCATGCTGATCGTGACTCTGACCTCAGCGTGGCCCTGCCATCAGGATTCCCTCTCTAGTCCCAATTCTGATTCAGTTCCAGCTCAGCCTCCAGCCACTGCCTCATCCCCAGCCATCGCCCCTGCCCACACCCTGCCTAGGTCTCCCTGCATTCACCTTGGGGGCCTGTGGCCGAGTGGTGACCCTCTGAGCCCGGCTTGCGTATCGTAGGGTGCTGAGAGTCTCAGGCAGGCACTGGGCAGAAGGGGACACACAGGCCACCTGGGGGGACACCCCTGAGCACTCCTCCCAGGTAGCACCCCTCAGCACCCAGACCCCCCCGCCAGCCCCTGCCTGGTACCATGAGGGTGACCCCACGCCCGCCCAGTGAGTCCGCCAGCAGCTTGGTGAGCTTGCTGTCCCGGAAGGGGATGTGGCTCTGTTTCCGCTGTGGGTCCAGCAGCAGGGAGATGCAGTGACCTGCGGGGAGAGCAGTGTCCAGCAAAGTTACACCCTTACCCAAGGCCACTCAGCTGCCATGTGACCTCATTATCCAGGGGCTGAGGCCCCTGGAGAGCAGAGCTGGCCCTAGGCACCCCAATCCCAATGCCCACCCAAGGGCCTGGCACTTGGCGGGGTCAGGAAAACTCTGAAAAGTGGACAGAATGAAGAGGAGTTCTCTGAGCCTCTCCCTACACATACCACAGAGGGGGCTGAGGGCCCAGCCCTCAGAAACCTGGGTGCGGGTTCCCTTCCCTCAGTCACCTCTCAGGGGCACAGGGACAGGTTGATGGTCGGAGAGCTCTTACTCTGCACTTGAGTATGTCTCCCCTCAAATTCAAATGTGATGGTATAGACACCAGGAGTTATAGATTCATGAACAAAACGCTAAGAGGGGAGGAGTGAGGCCACAGGCAGCTGAGACAAGAGATGGGCTTCTGATGTTCCTCCCTGCCACTATGGTCAGCTAGGGGCCAGGCACAAGGAGGGGCCTGGGAGGCCGGTCCAGCAGGCACCGAGGTCTCACCCAGGGCCAGCAGGCTGCGGTTGATGCTGTTGGCCTCCAGCATCAGGTCCCCACGGGATCCGGTGGCCGCCACCTTCTCACTGCCGGCCAGGTCTACGAAGCACAGCTTCCCACCAGCAGGGGCTTCTCCGGGGCCCACAGGAGGCGTCTGCTGGGGCTGAGGGTCACGTCCTCACATCCTCATGAGGTCGCAAGACCCCGGGCAGCCACCCACACGACCAGGTTGGCTTATACACCGAGGCCAACCCTTGCTGGGTGGCCCTGGGACCACGCTGCCCAAGCGGGGACCTTACAGTCTGGCGGCTGATGTAGAGTGTGAGCAGGGCGTGGCTCCGGCTGGAGGTCTGGTTCAGGGTGTGAGCCGAGCTCCTCCGACGACTAAGGCCTAGGTGGGGAAACATCGGAGGCGAACCTGTTAGGAAAAGCAGGTGGCCATCTGGAGGCCAAAGGAGCCAAGGCGTCCTCAGAGAGACTCAGGCAGAGCAAAGGCACAGAGGCATGAATTATTTGTGCATACAGAACTGGGGTACAGGCCAGAGGCTCAGGGGCGGTGAGAGGTTTCACCAGAGACAGAGTGGGGAGCAGAACAGGCAGATCAACGAAGTACACTGCTGAGGGGAGCAGCGGGCGGGTCAGGAGAGGTCTGCTGCACCATGTGGATCATCTCCAGGGTGGGGATGGAACTCATGCTGAAGTGGCTTTAGCTTCTTTAAAAAAAAAAAAAAAGATTTATTTATTCATACAGAACTGGGGTACAGGCCAGAGGCTCAGGGGCGGCGAGAGGGTTCACCAGAGACAGAGTGGGGTGCAGAACAGGCAGATCAACGAAGTACACTGCTGAGGGGAGCAGCGGGCGGGTCAGGAGAGGTCTGCCACGCCATGTGGTCACCTCCGGGGCAGGCGGGAATCTAACTCATGCGGAAGCGGCTTTAGCTTCTTAGTGTTGTGCTTTAACCTGCTGCACCTCCAGGGAGGGCCTATCTTATTATTTTTTAAAGATTTATTTATTCATGCTTACAGAACTGGGTACAGACTAGAGGTGCAGGGGCCATGAGAGGATTCACCAGGGACAGCGTGGGGAGCAGAATAGGCTGATTGATGGAGTACACGCTGAGGGGAGCAGTGGGGGAGACTCGAGAGGTCTGCTGCGCCATGTGGGTCACCTCAGGGGCGGGGGATCGAACTTGCACTGATGTGGCTGTGGCCGGCTTGCAGTGCTGCGTCCTAACCTGCTGCACCACCGGGGAGGGTCAGATTTTCCCCCCAATACCACCCCTTATACTCTTTGGCCCCTTTCTCCCCCTTTCTCTCAGAAACCTCACTGTGTTATCAGCACCCCCTAATTTTATAGTATTTTGTTTTATCAACTTGTCCACTATGTAAACGTCGGATACTTTCTGCGTCAGACTTGCTCTACTGCACAGACTTCCCCCAACGCTCCCTTTCGCTGTCAAGGCAACATTCCGCCTTGTCCTACGGCTGGGTAGCACCCCACAGTGGCTGTACCACAGCTTCTTGATCCAAGCGTCTGTCACTCGGTGCATGGGTCTCTCCCTGTCCTGGCTACTCAGCGAACAGCTGACCAGAGGATAAATGAGGCAGGACAAGAAGGGTCTTGCAGGCTACCCTCAAAGATGCCACCTTTACCCTCACGGGAGGCCTTGGAAGGGGGCAGCCTTGAGAGCTCTCTGGGAGGCAAACGTGAGGCCTGACAGCTCCTGGGCAGGAGAGGACAGGTGAGCTGGAAGAGTGTGGAAGGCAGAAGCTGCAGGCCTGGGGGCGGGGGGGGTGGGGAGCAGGTGAGAGGCCCTTGGGCTGTATTTGAATTGTTGGTTGTGGACCCTTTTCTCCCACAGGGGTCTGAACCCAAAGCTGCAGCTGGGGACCCTGAGCACACATTCAGGGAACAGCTGAGGAACGGGTATCCCTGGAACCCAGCGCTCCCCTAAAGTAGCACGCACCCATCTGTAGAAGTTCCATCAGGGCCTCTAGACTCCTGAACTCCACCACGCGGAGCTGATCCACATAGAAGCCCCGAGTCTTGTTCCAGCGAACAGGGAGGGGCCTGGGAGATGCCGGGCTCAACAAGTCTCGAACCTGGAGAGGAGGGCAGGCAGGGTGAGGGGAGGGCCCCTCTCTGAGTCCCTGACCCACCCACTCCCTTAGTGACCACACCATCCCCCATGCTACCACCACCTTCTGCCCCTTGACAGGGGCTGCTTGGAAAGAATCTTTTTCCAGGTGGGCCCCTTGGCTTCAGCTCAGCACCCACACCTACCTGCTCATTGTAGATCTCCAGATACGAAACATGGAGTGTGACAGGGGCGCCCAGGTGCTGCACACGATCTAGCAGCCAAGCGAATGTCCTCTGCATGATGCCAGTCAGGCTGGGGGGTATGGACACCCCCTCCCCCTGGGGACAGAAACAGCTGAGCTGGAGTGTCACCACGGCCACACAGTAATAACTACTCTTGTGTCTCACAGATGCAGATACTGAGAGCTAGGAAGCAAGCGAGGGAACAGAATGGATCTCCATATTGGGTAAGTCCCTTCACCTTCCCATTTCCCTGCCTGCAGATAAACGGGGTGGGTTGCATTTTCCAAGCCCCTTCCCTCCGGGGGTCTGCCCTGCCAGCACCTCTCCTGGGCTCCTGCCCCAGGCCCCCGATGTGCTCTGCTCACGCTCAGCCCACCTGAGGAGGAGGCCCCGTCAGGGTGTAGGTCTTCCCGGAGCCAGTCTGGCCAAAGGTGAAGACGGTGCAGGAGAAGCTGTGGGGCGGCAAGGGTGCTCTGCTGGACGGCAGCGCGAGGGGAGGCGGGAGGGGGATGAGGGGTCGCAGCAGGGTTCCTGCTCAGGGACCCCCGAAGCTTCACTCACCCCTGCAGGGCCATTTCGCCCAGGCGCCGCACCCCACATGCCCTGAACACGTCCTCCTGCGTGCGTGCGGCGTCCAGCACCACGCCGAAGCGGAACGCCACGTCGGGGCCCCCACCGGGAGGACTCACCTGAGGGAGCGGGTGGCGGAGAAGCCGGGGCACCTGGAAGGGCGGGGCCCTCCAGGGAAGGGCGGGGCACGGTAGGGGAGGAGGCCTTGGACAGAGGTGCCCAAGGAAGGGACCCCATGACTTTAGCGAGGTATTTTGGGAGTGGGTGTGTGGAGAAGCTCCTCACCTGCAGAGTCCGGGTCCCTGAGCAGTGCAATGCGCTCTGTTCCCCTCGACGCAACTCGGCCACGCTCATGGGGCGCACCCTGGGATTCCATGGGAGGACTCATTGTCCATCCTGCCGTCTCCATCCGTCCCTTCCTTACCCTGATACCCACCTGAGTACCACCTGGATGGGCGTTTCCGGTCCCTCTGATCCCTGCTCCAGGCTCCGAGCAAGGTCCCTGTGGCACAACACAAATTATCACCTGTGCCCTCAGCGGCTCCTGCATTCTCCCAAACCTCCCGAATCTCTGCTTACCCGTCAGGGGACCCACGTTCCTCCATGTCCTTCTTTGCACACGGAATTTGCTCCGCCCCAACCCCATTCCATTCCTTCCCCAATCCCCTCCCTTCTCCACCACAGTGAACTGGCTATACACAGCTCACCCCTGCCCCTCCTTCCCAGGCAGGCATCCATCCGGAAAGGCTCCGAGTTAACGATTTACCCACCTCTGCGTGGAGGAAATCTTTCCCAAACTAGCTAGGGGGTTCTGGAGTCCCAGGGTCTCTTGTTCTTGACCAGTCCCATCAGGAAGGACCACCTAGGCCAGAAGGGGATACTGAGGTAGAGATGGACAGTCAAAGCCGCACAGCAAGCCTGGGGCAGAGCAAAGCTCCAGGCTCTTCCTGCTCTCCCCACACACATCCCCAGCCCTGTCATGGCTGAGAGAGGACTGGAGAGATGGGAAGGACCCAGTCTCATCTCCAGGAAAACCTGGCATGATTGCATTCTTGAGCTGAGCAGACAATAGGCCCCAAAGCATGTGGTTAAACATTGGGCCTCTCGCCTCTCGATGCCAACCAACGTTGATCCAATGCTGAGGGAGTGTGTCACGCCCTCCTACTCTGTCTGAGAGCAGCAGGGATTTCTGGCTGTGGGGGCAGGGCAGTCATCCATGCTGGGTGTGTCTCCGTGCCAGGCACTGAAGAGTGGAATCATTTGCTGGTCTTATCCCAACTTACAATCCTGCTAGGGGTAAATGCAAAGTATGCTGCGACTTTGGTGGGGGCGGGAGGCATGAGGGAGGGTGGGGGTTCGAGGTGCCGGAGTTTAGCAGGGAGGTGCGGGCATTCTGGGGGAACATGCTGCAGGAAGGCCAGAGTGGAGGGAAGATGTGATTAGTGTGCAAAGTGTGCAGGGGTCGTCTGAAGCTGAACCAAGTTCATGGTAGGCCCTCTATGGTGAGCTTGGATTCACTTCTCAGGAAACCAGGAAGCAATCAAAAAATTGCACACAGTCAAGTTTGGCATTATTATAATTTTTGTCGTGATAGGCATGGAGAAGAAATTTACCCATCTCCTTGGTTTTTCTCAAACTGGTCAAGCAATCCAATTAACATCAGCTAGATTACCAGGAGCAAAGAACACTCTGAAGTCAGTAGGGCTAAGAATTGGGATGGGGTTTGGGGCTTCAAGGTGAGAGGAGGCGCTTTACACAAGGAGAGACTGACTCGTATGAGGAAGACCAGACGTTCTTAGATGTAATTCGATGTTTGCCTTGCTATATATCCATAGATAGTTTTCTCTAACAGAAAGCTTATTTCTGGTAAAAACCACAATTTTGGGTAAGACCAATTTTTCATCTTTCTAGGTATTTCTTAAGCACCTATAGTTCCTTGGTTGACTTTCCTCAAACTATCTCTGCATATTTCTTTTTTTGTTCTTACAGATTTATTTATTTATGCATACAGAACTGGGGTTCAGGCCGGAGGTGCTGGGGGATGAGAGGATTCACCAGAGACACAGTGGGGAGCAGAACAGGCAGGTAGACAGAGTATACTGCTGAGGGGAGCAGTGGGGAGACAGGAGAGGTCTGCCGCGCCATGTGGGTCACCTCTAGGGCTGGGGATCAAACTCGTGCCGCAGTGGCTGTGAACAGCTTCATAGTGCTAACACTTAACCCCTGTACCTATCACCAGGAAGGCCCAGAATGAAGAGTTTAAAACTAGAATAATGATCTTGGAGTCTTGGCGCTGGCTGTGGTGGCCAGTAAGTGCGTAAGTCATTCCCTTAAGTGTCCTCATAGGTGTGAAGACTAGAGGTCATTCACCTTGTAGCGTGTGCTGTTTTAACTAGATTGCTGAGAGGAGACACTGTGCAGGCTTCCTGAGGAGAGTGCAGAGTGGAGGGCAATGCCTCTGTGGGGGTGTAATGAGGTGCTGGTAGGGATTTTCACACCAGGCTTGCAATTCAGGTTCAGAGGGCACATCTCACATCTCCACAAGCAAGAACAAAGTTCTAGTTCTGTTGCGAAGCGTGTATGCGAACATCTGCTACCCTTGAATTGAGGTTTTGTCCAGCCAATTTTTATGAAGTCTGTACATACCAGGATCCTTTAGAAATGTTAGTGAACATACAAGAAATTGTGGAACTTACCCTCTAAGGAGGTGGACAAGAGAGACAAACAAAAAGTATGTATGTAATTTATGAAGTGTTTGAAAATCTGAGAAGTATTGGGGGAAATCAATCAAGAAGCAGGGAGCCAGGTGTGTTGAGGTACAAGACTGTAGTAATTTAAAATAATATGCTCACGGGGACTTCACTGAGAAGGTGACATTTGTGTAAAGACTTCAAAGAGGAGAACAAATTAGACATGCAAATATTTGGAGGAAGATTATCTATGCAAATGTCCTGGGGTAGAATCTGACTGGTGTGGCCAGGGAATGGGAGATCATGTGACTGGAGCAGACAGAGTTGGAGGGATGATCCACAGAGGGAGTGGGAGCCTAGCATGTGGAACTTTATAGGACACTCCATGGAGTCTGGTTTTTAAGTTGCGTAGAAAGGAGTTCCTGGAGAGTTTTGAGAAGAGCAGCGTGCTCTGACCTATGTTTTTTTTTTCTTTTAAAATGTACTTATTTATGTATACAAGAACTGGGGTGCAGGCCAGAGATACTGGGGGGGGGCGTTGAGAGGATTCACCAGAGACAGTGGGTCGCAGAACAGGCAGATTGGTGGAGTACACTGCTGAGGGGAGCAGCAGGTGGGTCAGGAGCGGTCTGCTGCACCATGTGGGTCACTTCCTTGGCCGGGGATCGAACTCATGCTGCACTGGCAGACAGTTTCACAGTGCTGTGTCTCCTTGCGCCACCAGGAAGGGCTCCCACCAATGTTTCAACAGGACCCGCGATTTCAAAAGCCATCATGGCTGCCGTGTTCATAGTACTTTTACAGCTGCATAACCACTCCCAGTGTTTCTGCTCCATCACTGCCACGGTGACCAGTGCTCTCACCACAACCCTATCACCATCTTCACCAAAACTCCCGTCCCCAAGAGCTTCGGGACCGCAGCCCCCCGCCCCATCTGCCCTTGCCGCATCAACATTTCCCGGTCTGCACCACCACCGCCGCCCCCAGCAGCATCACCGTCAGCACCGCTGTGTTTATTCACTTGAGAAAATTAACATGTAACATCTGTGCTCCCACGAGCACCCCCACGGACCACGGTGCATCCTGTGCCGCAGAGGAGCTGAGCGCCTTTGTCCCTGCACCCTTCACTGCCCGCCCCCCTCCGTCTGAGCCTGTCTCCTGTTTGCAGAGGGCACCTAGTCCAGGAAGCAGGTGGGGGGGGGGGTCCTGTGCTTGAGGGAGGGCAGAGGGAAGGCGAATGGGGGGAAATCAGGGTCTTAGGAGCAGGCTGCCCCGCCCCCACCGCCCCCGGGGTGCATCTCGGGGTCTCACTAGAGGGCAGCAGAGCATCACGCCCTGGCCCTGGGGCTCACCACAAAGGAAGCTTTGTCCAGCGTGGCCACGCTCTGCCCAGACGTCTCTCCTGCGCCTGTTCACGGCAGAGGAGCTGGCCAGCTTGGTGTGTGGAGAGGGATGAGTCGTCCCTCAAGAAGCGCTCTTTGAGGGAGTGAATAAAAGCAACATTGAGCAATCAGGGGAGCCTCCCCCACACACCCTGCCCCTGGTTCCAGCCCCTTCCAGCCACTGACCTCTCTCCAGCGCCAGACATCCCCTCTGGGAGATCCCTGCCTTGACTCCCTAGGCCTGGGAATAAAGCCTGAGCCCTGGGCCAGGAAGGACTCGGGTTCATTAGGGCTCTTTCCTGCTGACCCCTCTGACTGTCCCTCTCCACAACTTGGCCCCCACCCCCACCCCTCCCTGCGTGCTAAGCTCCAGTGCAGACACTTTCTTGGCTTCCCTTGATTGCTCTAGGCCTTTGCCCCTCTGTTCCCTCTGCCAGGAGCGCTTGTCCTGCAGGACTTTCCCGGTGCCCCCTGGCCACCAGGTCACGCTGGAGCCATATCTGTGTCCCCACGGCCTCCTGGGCTTCCTCGGGGACAGCCCCCGTCACATTGGCTATGTGTCCTGTCTGCCGGGGCAGGGCCTAGCCAGCACACAGTAGGAGCTCAGCACTTGTTGAGAGAAGGAGGGGAAGGAGCCAGAGAGGCTGGCCGAGGACGCTGGACACCTCTCTCCTCTTTTCCCTCTGCGCAAGGTTGACCGCAAACACTCTACTTCATGATGGAAGGTTTCTTTTAAGGGCTCATTTATCATGGATATCATCAGCTCCTGCCACACAGTCTCTCTCAAATGTGGCCAGAAATGGAGAGACGCTTGCCTGACCCCAGCCAAGCTGGCCTCTCGGACCTACCATCTGCTAATAATTTAGGATCCCAAAAGGTGGAGAACAGGCTCCCTGGGGCCAAGGCCCTTGTTCCTTCCAGCAATCGGTGACACATTACACAGCAGGCCTCGCCCCCTTTGTGAGGTGCAGCAACTGAGGCGCGGTGGGAAGAGGCTGCGCCCAGCCCGGGGCACCCCCCAGCCCACACCCTTGCGTCGGTCTGAAGTGGTTCAGCGATGGGACAGAATGGGCCAGGGAGGATGTGCTCCTGTGTCACGTGACACACGGCTTCCATTTCCACGTGAACGCAGCGGAGGAAAAGCCAACTGGGTCCAAGGCCTGTTATGAAATCTTCCAAACAGTACTTGCTGTAACCCTTAATTAAAATGTGAATGTAGGCCATAGGCCTCCTGTCACAAAATCCTCCAAAGCGAAGAGATCTTGTAAGGAACCTTTATCTAACCCCTCCCCCATTTCCCAGATGGCGAAACTGAGGCTGGGCAGCGCAGGCCAGAGCAGCTATTGCATTCGTGGTGGAAGCAGTGATTTTAGGAACAGAGGGTGAGAGTCACAGCACAGTCATCACAGCCACAGCCCACTGACACCCCCAGGTCACCCCCTGTCTCCTAAATGCCCAGCTCCTGTCCCCCAAGGCCTCCCTTGTCTTCTCTGCAGGGTATAGTGGGTGCTGCAGCCACACCAAGCTTCCTGC